CAGGAAAACTGTCTGTAATTCTCATGTTCACTATCATGCTTATTAATGCTGTATTGCATACAGGCAAGCTATACAATTTAATGAGTAGTGCAGCAGGCTTTTTTCAAAGAAAATCATGGTAAGAATGTTTAAGGCTTTAACATCACAGGAGAGCTAAAAAAGAGTCTTCATATCTGAGAGTATCAGAGAAGACAGGCAGGCTGACAAATTATTGCCCTGATTAAGGTGATGATGCCAGTGTGATGCGTTGCTTGCACACAGACTGTTTTCTTTAAATGAGTCTTTCCTGACCTCTATATATACCCTCTGTCTATATATATGTGTGTGTGTATATAAACACACACTCTCTCCATATATTTTCCTATACTCTATAGCAGGCAAGAGTGATGCTTGCTTGAGGACAGGACACTATGTGAGCAATTCAAGGAAGTTGTAAAGGTCCATGGATCTGGACCCCAAGGCTCGGAAAATCTTCTGGTGCTCTAATGTTGTTGTATTATAGAAATGCCCTAACTGTTCACCTCAGCAAGGACACAGGTTTCATTGACTCCAGGGTAACAGTCTGTGCCCCAGAGTGTTCTTTAACCAGTCCACAGAGAGTGTGTGGTCACCTTGCCCTCCACCTCTGATGGCATTATCTATCAAAACCTGGCAACATGGCAGAGATAAAGAAGATACATGTGCAGGTGTGACTTAGCTGGTGCATGTGAAATACCTCCCTCTTTATTGGACCTTAATTTTCTGTTAGGTGCTTCAGCTGTGGCAGTTGTCCATAGGATTCCCCAATTCCTGTCCCAGAGACCCAGAAAACATGAAGCTTTCTTGTAACCGAATATTTCTTCTCCCCACTAACCTTGCACCAACTACTTGTAGATATTTGTTGATACATATATGTTACAGGCAACATATTGATCACCTCTATGTATCAGCTGTGAACACCGTAATTTTAATATAATCAGCAATGGCAGATGTTCATTCTGTAAAGCTACACTTACAATATCAGTAAAAAGTCTGCTGTCCACTGATTAACATGTCAAAATAATATTAAATGGTGTACTGTGGTCTATTGTATCCATCCACAGAGGAATGGTTTTCTCACTTAAAGCACTGCCCAGCATCAACATTTGTGAACTGGAAGGCTCCACTGTTGTGATAAAATTAGATGGTAGTTGTACTGTGCAATGTTACTCCCTCATTTACCCTGATTCAGTTTCAGATTGGCTAGTCCACAATTAGTATGATGGCATTTGTTTGAAGTATGATAGGAAAAGAAAAGGGGTTTCAAGGAAGCAAGGTCTTTAATTTTCAAACTAGCAAAGGTGATACAAAATTATACCAACCAAGTGAAAAACAGAATAGATTTTTGCTACAGCAGATCTTGGAAATCTCCCTCATATAAAACCCCATATTGACAAGTGTAGGCAAGTGTTATATGAATGACTTGCTAAGTACACTCAGCTGCTGTTGGTATGCAAAATACATAGATCTCAATACGTGAAATACTTAATACCCTCAGCTCCTAACACAACAAGCAGAAAATGAGTATTTCTAGTAATATATTCAGATCTTTTAAAGATCAAGCATAAAATTTGGCAATGTTTAACCTTGTCTTGTCTTCCCATTCCTCCCTGAAATGAAAAGCCTAAAAACCTACTTCTTTATGAATTCCTCTGACATGGTATATTGGCAGTCTTTCTCACCTGTCTAGCTTTTCTGCTATTTTGATATACTAGTGTTCAAACATATCTAATGTTCAGCACATAATAATTTTTCCATGGGCTAACTGGAAAGTGCATTGAATTTTCCTTTAGAGACTTGCTCAAGGCATGGATCATATTATCCTCTGTAGCTATAGGGAAGCTACAGCTAAAAATAAATTTTGTGCTTTATTTTAAGGTTAAAAAATACATTACAAGTAAATCATTAATCCAAAGGAGCTCTGACTGTTGCTATTTATAGTACAGTAACTGATCTATAATAGAGATTGTATACCCAAGTTCCTAAATAAACTCAGTGTGAAAAAAATAGTACTTGTGATAATGCTGTTGTGCAGTACATTACAAGACACAGCAGGTTGAGTTCTGCCTTAGGACTGTACTTGCCGCAGGGGAAGACGTCTCCTGCTCAGCTACACAAGTTGGTGGGAATCCCATCCCGATGCCACTCTGGTCTGCTCAGGCTGCATCCCTCAGTCTTGCTGATAGAGAAGACACAGTTTTCCCAATATTTCCTCTTGGATCAAGGGTTTGCAAAGGGACCATGAGTAAGTGGGATTCCATGATGTATTAATTTTTCCAGAAGCGACTTGCAGCTGGAAGTGAGCTGTGTTATGAAATGTTAAGACTTCCACATCCCAGAGTTAATGGGAAGATTAACGGGAAATTCTTTTTTCCTGCAAGGCCATCTTCATTTCCCATCCAGCCTGGACTTGCACCACATGCATATTGCACAGCCCTGAGAGAGTGTAGAACTATGACATCTGTTCAATTTGATTCAATTTAGAATAAAGATATCATTCAGTTTTACGTAAAAATAATTTGGATCAATTGGATTTTGGTAACTTTCCTTACACTGGATAACTGCTTTTCCTGTTAACAGTTCTATTGAATTCAATGCAATTGAATTTATGGTGTAAGAGGTCACTGAACATGACAAAGCACCACAAAACCAGGTTTTAGTATAAGAGAGCTTTTTGTTTTGTATTTACAAGGATCCCACCCAGTAGGCATCATGTCCATGTGAGCAGCTCTTAAGAAAATCTCCAGAGAAGAAAATACCAATACTAAATAGTTATAACATCAAAAATACACAGGTATAACATCAGCAGAACACTATGGTGGCATCACAGGTGTTCTGGTTTCCCCCAGGGTAAGTAAAGGGAGGTACTTTGGCAGCTATAGTAGCTCTCCATGCATCATGACATGAAAATCTCATTCAGGTGTCTAAGGAAAGCACACTTGTGAATGCTAAAGTAACAACTGCTGTTTTGGAAGCTACCCTTGCTACCCATATTTTCACAGTAAAGCTCCTAACTACCTGATCTTACTTTCTGTGCCAGTGTTGCCACTGGTTCTTGTAGCCAGAGCTACCTTAAATAGCTGTGAACTGGAGACCACAAAAGGACTCAGTTTCCTTGAGAAACCATGAAGAATCAATCCCTGCATTGTTTTTCTGTCTGTATGGACTGATTGGAAAGAGTCACTTCAGAATTCCAAGTGTAAACTCAGGCAAAAAAAAACCACAGAAAGTGGAGCTGGAAAACTGTATGGTGTATGAACATCATCATACCTCTGCCAGGGAAGAGACGTAACACCTCAGGCATGCCCAAACTGAAACAGTAAGAAAGAGGAGAATTCGTGCTTCAAGCAGACTGCTTTCCTTCCCAAATAGCATTGCAAAGCACTAATTAGCTATCTGCTATCACCCACATATCCTTCAGAGGCACTGTTTGGCAGGCTCTTTCCTGACACCAAGCACCGGTTTTCTCTGAGATATATTGGTTTGCATTTCAGTCTCACTGTATTTGCTGCCTATGCCTGTAAGCACTCTTTAATCGGAATTGCTGCTCTTACTAGTGGGTTAGGCACTTTTGAATCCTCACTTCTTATGGTGACACTTTGCTTTCCAAAAAGACATGTAAAAGAATATCACTTCTCTTTCATCAAATTGTCAATCCACATATTGCATGCAGCATCATGAACATTTATTCACTAGTATGATTTCATGAGTGTCTGTAACAGTTTTCATGCTAAGATGCAAACATATTTTATGACTCTGCCAATGTCTGAAAAATCAAGCTAGTCTATTTCCAGACACTGAAGCTGTTTCATTGTTTATAGCTTCCCATATGCTCAAGGAGCTCAATCCTACCTTCTCTACTTACCCAAACAGTTCTAGTGGCACAGCTTACAAGAATGGGCAGAATTTGTCCCTGTAAACCCATTTCACCCTGGTTAAAAAGATCACAAATGTTGGTATCATCTGCCATCTACCAACACGGAATGCTTAACATGATGTTTGGAGGAAGTTCAGTACTTAACTGCCAGTGAAACCGGTAGTTATTATGTGCCAAATGCTTCACAACAGTACCAATAAATCATAAAGCATATCTATGGAGATACTTTTAGATTTCTGCACCCTTAGCACCATCCTTCATCTCTGACACATGCTGGAGGAACTTGGCTGACAACAGAGCTGCCCATATGCAGCATATATTTTGACTACTCCTAGCAGGCATAATGCATCCCAAGATACCTGTACAAGCCTGTTCTAAAGCTATTTCACCTAGCTGCTTTCAGTGCAAGGAAGAGCAAGGGTAACAGAAAACACCACTTGCTGGTGTTCTTTATTGGTGTTGAAGCCAAATGTGGCTTCAAATTTGAGACAGTATCCAGAGAGAGCATTCAGAGGTTTGTCCTGCAAAAACGGGCAGCAGCCCCTCATAGGCACTGCCCAGCATGGCTAGTCCAGCCGTTCTCAGCTGACTGCAACTCAAGACCCAGTTCTGATAGCATTAGCTCCAAAAAACTATGAGAAAGCATACAGAGGTAAGAAACATCTGCTGCAAAATGGCAGCAGGTAGTTTTGAGGTGTGGGTAGTTATCGGTTCAAGAATTCAAAAGGAAAAAGCACTGCTATGAAAGGGGTAAAATCTAAGAAAAATAGCAGGTTGGAAGATGCAGCAATGATCAGCACATTCCAAGGACAGGCAGTTTAAACCTGGGCTGCGGTAATCTCGAGCTTTCAGCATGCAGAACCTTTTCATCTGAGGGTGCCCAGTGCTGCGGACAGCGGGAACCGCCCGTCCACACACATTCACCCGTTTGCTACACCCCAAACCTCGGAAAGGAGCGCTAAGGACTGCGTGGGTGCGTGTGTGCGTATGCTTCTCCCTCCGGGTATCGCTGGATACACACTAGCGTAAGAGGGCAGCTCGCTTAAAAGAGGACGGCACAGGGAGAGGGGAGGGGACCCCCGTCCCGGGCCGTTCCGTCCCTTCTGGCCCCCAGCCGGGGCCGCCCCGTCCCTCCCCGCCGGGCCCCGCACCGCGGACAAGCGGCGCCGCCGGGGCCGCGCCCCCCCGCCGGGCACTGAAAAGGGACAGCAGGGGCGGCACAGCGGAGCCACTGGCACCAGTCGCCGAGGGGGGAGGCAGCTGTCGGCTCCGCACCTAGGGAGAGCTCGAACACCGCTCGCCAAGGCGCCCTCTCCTCCGTCAACCTCGGGGAACAGCGGCACCGACGGCCGCGGGACCCCCTCACCGCCCCAGGGCACTATGACCATGCTCAAGCTGTCCCTCATGGCCTTCAGCATCGTCTTCTGGGCAGCGGGGCTGACCATGTTCATTATCGGCCTCTGGGCCACGGTGTTTCTGGGGAGCTACCTGGAGCTGTCAGCCAACAGCAGCCCCAGTGCCCCTGCCATCCTCTTGGCCACCGGCGCTGTTGTCATCATCTGGGGCTTCCTGGGCTGCTTCGGTGCTGCCACGGAGCACCGGGGCCTCCTGCGTGCCTACATCGCCTTCCTGACCACTGTGATGGCAGCCGGGCTGGCGGCGGGGCTGTCGGCGCTCCTCTACCGCCAGAACATTGCACAGGGATTCCAGGAAGGACTGCACCAGGCCCTGCTTACCTACGGGAAGGACGAGGGGATGGCAGATGCCCTGGATGCGTTGCAGCGCTCCTTGTCCTGCTGCGGTGTGCAGAGCTACCGGGACTGGCTCACCACACCCTGGGGGCTGGAGCAGAACGGCTCCGTGCCCTTCAGCTGCTGCCAGGCCCGCCAGGGCTGCCACCGCAGCCCGCCTGACACGCGCGGGCTGCACCACGACGGGTGCTTCCCCAAGGTACTGGCCTTCATCAGCAGCAACATGTTCTGTATTGCCACGGCTGCCCTGGGGCTGACGCTGCTGCAGCTCATAGGCATCTTGCTGGCTTGCCTGCTGGCTGCCAGCATCCCTTCCCGACTGATGGGCATCACCACCCTGCACTGAGATCCTCCTGGTCCTGCCTCTTATCCCCTCTGGTTCTCTTCTTTCCCACAGACCTTGGTGTATCCCACTGGGAAAATCATCTCTTTGTGTTCCCCACTTCCACCTGACCTTCCTCCTCCAGACTCCGTTCCTCCTCTGGAGCCTGTGTCAGGTGCATCCGTGCTACAGGCATCTCACAGTCCCTTGGAGGGCAGCAGGTCCCCACTGCCCCTCCCCGGAGTCTCGACTGCTTCTGGAGGGAGGGGTGACAGCATGGGCGGACATCACCCCCTGGGGCAGGAGGGACCCCTGAGTCAAAGCTGACCAGTCTTCTAGGTGATGCAAAACATCCCAAGGCACTGAAGTGCGGGCCAGGGAAGGAGGAAAGAGGAGGCGGTCTGGGAATGCAAGGAAGGTGTCTCTCAGCATTACACCACATGAGTGTGCGGCTGAGACTGGAAAATGATGTGACTGGAAAATGGTGTTACTGGGAAACTGCTGGAGCACACAAGGTCTGCTCTGGGGGCACTCACGTAGCCCTGCCAGCAGCTGCCAATGGGGGCTGCTTGAGAGACTGCCCAGTGGCGAGCACTCCGCCGCCGAAAGATGTCCTACCTCTGCTGTGTTCGAACTGTCCGGCTGCCGCTGGGGCTTTTCCTGCTGGGCTGTTTCCAATGCTGATCTCCATCTGAAGATGGAGCTGCAGCTCCAAGTACAGCTCCCTCCTTCAGTACGTGCCTGTACTCGTAGCCAGGGCATTGCTGGCTATGTCTTTGTAGTGCTAAGAGCTTAAACCCGAGTCCCCATAGTACAAGAGGATGGCAAAAGCTGTATGATCAGACCGGACTAGGGGTGGCAAGAGGGGGGAAGGGTGCATTGTCCTTCAGAAGTTTCTTTGGGGCTTTTGCTGTTAACTTCAGAATGAGTGGAATGGGCTTTCTGTTTCTGAAGCCAGGTCTCTACAACCAGAGTGTAAACAGACCCCAGGACTTGCTCTGTTGCCTGTGGCGTCTGCAGGTCAGACAGCACTGCAAATCTACAGGATTTTGGTTCTCCCAGCAGTTCTGACTGGTATTTGGAGCTTTAGGAAAAACGAGCCCCGCACTTTAGAGGGTCTTGAACTTTCACAGCTTCACCTCTGCTTCTTCCCACTTCTTTAAAACCTGTGAACAGGACTTGTATGTGTTTCTCTGCCTCACAGCACAAAGACATGCTGAACACTCCCCTCACCCAGCAAACTGGGGAGGGAGGATTTCAGGAAAGAACCAAGAACCACAGAGGAGATCCAGGATGTGGTGTCTTTTAGGAGCATGGCTAGCAAAGCTGTGGAGAATGCTCAAATGCCAACAATAGGAGCAGGACAGGAATCTTCAGTGAAGAAGATGGCTGATACAGATGGTGAGCAGAGTAACTGTGGGGGAAAGGGGATTAACAGTGAAGCTCTAATGCCTGGGCAATGAATGCATGAGGTGAGGGGTGAGGAAAGCTTGGTTCATTTTCTTCCTTGCTTGCCTTTACTGCCTTTGACTACATGTCTAGCTTTCTCTCTTCCTTCCACTGAAGAGCAAGTGCTTGGCTGCAAGTATGAGCTAGGCAGAGCCTTTGTCCCACTGCTCCTGCTCACGCTGGGAGATGGAGCTGGCCTTGCTGTGCCCACTCACCCTGGTGAGGCAGGCAATGGGAGAGCAAATCTGTTGCTGACTCGTCATGGAGAGCCGGATCAAATTGCAGATCTAACTCTCCTCCTGCTGTTTAAATAATACCAGTTTCTCTACCTAAGAGAACCCTGCTTTGCTATTTCTGTGCTTTCTCCCTGCTGAAAATAAGCTTCTAGAATTTTTTTTGACAATGCCTCTGGGGGGGGGGGGGGTGAAACCAGGGCAAAATGTGTATTCACTTAGAAAGATTGTTATCCTTGCTGCTTTAAATGGTTTATACCATTTTAAAATAGCTGGAAATGCTACTGCTTCCCTGTCTTCTGTGATAATTAAGCCCTTTTTGGTTTTTTTATTTTCCCACCAGCCTTCTTTTTTGGTAGAGGGGTGGCTCAATCCTACAGTGAATTTGTTCCACCTGCAGGACTGTAACTATTTCTGACCTGGGCATATTGCTGCAATAACAGGGGGCTAATAACAGCCCCTGACTTGTTGGACTGCCCTCATAGAGCTGCAGTGTTCTGGCAGAGCACAGCAGGCTTGTCAAGGGAATATAAAGAAAATTTCCTTAACTTACATTAACTATTGCTCAAGCTTGAGGGTACTTGAGAACATAAAGAAAAACCAAACCAAACCAATGTAAATAGGTATTTCCATGGAAAGAGATGTTATACTCCCCAGAGATGCAAAACGGTCTAAAGTTTAAATGAAGTTTTAGTTGAAGGCTGCTGAATTGGAATGGTATTTATAAGCAAAAATCTACAAGGATCAATAGGGAGTATCCAGTACTCGCTTATGGAAATAATTCCCTTGGGGTCAGTGCTCTCAACCAAAGCTCACAAAATCAAAAGTGTAAAAAGAGAATCTGGGTTTTCCTTTCTGGAGAGTGATTCTAGCCCGCACGGATGGAGCTTATGATTCTGGAAGGACAGTTATGTTGTGCTTGGGTGTTAGCTGTGGCTTGATCTTGACTGTCCCTTTTTTCAGGTATTGTATTTTTTCACGTGGCTATGTAATTATGATAGTCACATTCCAGTTGGAGAGTGCAATGTGAATAAGCTTCTCAGTCATTTTACTGCTCATCTGCACAGGTGATCTCTGGAAGTGTGTTGGGAATCTCTTTTTGAGGAGAAAACAGCGCTTCATTTTTTAGTGCTGATGTTTATTGTTCATTGTTTTGCATCATGTAATTTTTTATTTTTGTTAGTAAATAACCCTGTACTTACACCCCTTTTTTGGAGTTATGAACTAGCGGAATTCCTGTTATGTTCTGGAAATCAATATTGTGGGGCAGAAAGTCTATTTTGTATGGGAAGTGGTACTTCATAAATAAAGTATAGCAAGTGCTGTGAGCAAACCAGGTCACTGTTTGAAATCCAATTCACTATTTGCATTTCTGTATGTCTCCACATGGTTTGATTAAGTGCAAGTGAAATGAAGTGTATGCTGAAGTGTACAGACAGATTCATATTGTGGTTTTTTGTATTGAGAAGATCCATTAAAGGAGTAATAAAAGCTATTGTGGAGTGTGTTGGGAAGGGACATGGATTTGCACTGTTTATTATAATGGTCTTCTTTACTGGAATCAATAAGCTCTGAAAATCTATGAGAATATGGCATTGCTCTTTTTTTTTGATCCACTGATTACAAAAATTATTTCCTATCCTGATGGTGACACATAGATGCTGTTAAAACACATTAAACCAAAAACCTTGTGTAGATATTTACTTCAGTGGATTTGTTGTGTTTTTAAGTTGCTGGGAATACCAAAATAGGAATGATAAGAGTAAGTTTTAAGCATACCAGTGCATGTTTATATGGTGGCCAGGCTTGAATCTCAGGACACCAACTAAATGTAATGAATAATTCAAAATGTAAACCATCATGCTGCACTCTTGGCCTGTGCTCACTGAAATAGAATGAACTGTGGCAGTGAACATGTAAATGTTAAGTGTACTTATATCACTGAAGTTTTCATGGACTGGCTCTTTTAATTGAATGTTTATTGCCCAGCGCCTAGAATAATCATTAACAACATTAACTTTTGTAGATGTATGGAAGAAACTTCATTCTTTGCTAAATAATTCCCAGATTAGCAGACTCTCAGTAGGTGTTTCACTTGTCTTGAATTCTTTGTGCTCAGTGATTAAATTTTAATTTAGTTTAAAATATTACCTAATTCACTGTTAATTTAGTTCCGGGTGGTCAGAATGGCTGCAATATGTAACACTGGTCAGCACCATCTACCCCTTGCTGGAACATGTGTTTGTTTTCTGTCATCCTCTTCAGTATAAAGTCACTCATCAAAATTTCATAAAAGCTGATCCCTTCTCTTACAAAAACCTAATCTCAATTTTAACATGTTGGTTATTTAATCAATTAAAAATCATACCAAATTAAGCATAGAAGCAGGCTGTGTTGCAGTTGTAGAAACAATAGAGCTGTTGTTTGGACAAACTGAGATTTAGAATTACCAGGGTGGTAAAATTAGACCCTTGTTTCGTAACAAGACCCTTGTTTTATAATATTGAACTAGAATGCCAAGAATATAACTCTTTCAAACCCCAAAAGTGTGTTGATGTTTTGTCCAACATGAGTTATTTACTGTACTTTTGTGTAGCTGAACTTCACATCACATAACCAAAACTAAAAAAGGCCTTTATAACAGATCATACATTTTTAGAGAAGAGATGGCTTTCCTGGGGTCGGAAAACTTAAACAGTAGCAGTAAAATCACACAAGAAAGAATTTTGATGACTGCCTTGGTGACTTTCACTGGTAGCAGCTGATATTATATAAAGCCCTTGACATGAATACTCATCTATTATTTCCACAGATAATAACAGTAAAGATGCCCTTTTTAATAAATCCAGCGAACTACAGGAGATTTTGATAAATAGATAACATGGGAACTGAGCTAGAAATTCAGTGTTTCAAATATTGTGGGTGCCAATAAAAAAGGCATGTCCATGGAAGGTTTTGGGCAGTCAAGTTAAGAAGCCTTATCACAGTCTTGCTCTGAAGGACCACAAAATATTGGTCAGAAACACATAAGTCACACAACTAAGAGAGTTCGAGACATTTAATCTCAAATCTCTCTAGCCCAGAACCTAGCAGATGTCATCAGGAAGGTGGCACTGGCTGTCATACCGTATTTGTTTGAGGTGTGCTGGTGTCAGCGTGGAACAGGGATACTCCTATCTTTAAAAGAGCTCTGTAGTTTCTGAAAGTATCTGTAAGCATCAGGGGAATATCTGTAAAGATGTTTTATGTCCATGCATCTCTACCTGAGGGAGCTTATCAAAGCCACCATCACGTCCCCATAATCCCCATAACATTCCAGATTCTGTCTTAAACAGTTAAAGAAAGTATTTGTTTGTAGGAAGAGACTTTTTTTTTCTTTCACTAGGAAAGCAGACACTTGTTCATTTATTTTTCAGACAGTTCACACTGCTTTATTTTGTCCCCATACTGTTTTCTGGGCTTTTTGGTCCAGTGCAGGGGCATGAAGGAAGAGCTCCAGATAGCAGTACAGCTAAAAGAATGGTG